AACGCAATTAATAAAAAATAGTCTCACCACCAGGATACTGAGATCGATACCATCTACCAAGCTTCAGATTTCCCTAGTTTTTCTTGCTTTTTCAGTATTCTGTGTTTCTACAAAGGACTTAGCAATTATTGTGAAGAATGTACATTACCTCAAAATAATAAAAACCCTACAATTATACATAAATCCGGACTTCAAGCTGAAGCCAGAACCCACAATTGTCATTCTCAGAAGGGTATTGTAAAAATTGTCCTTCGTAAATAGTTTCATGGAACTAGTATCATAAGAAGTGTATTTTAACTCAACACAATCCATCCGGATTTTTCTTTTTTTTTTTTGAGACAAGAGTCTTGCTTTGTCACCCAGACTAGAGTGCAGTGGCGTCAGCCTCGCTCACAGCAACCTCCAACTCCTGGGCTCAAGCCATCCTCCTGCCTCTGCCTCTTGAGTAGCTGGGCCTACAGGCATGCGCCACCACGCCCGGCTAATTTTTTCTGTTTTTAAGTAGAGAAGGGGTCTTGCTCTTGCTCAGGCTGGTCTCCAACTCCTGCCCTCAAGCGATCCTCCCGCCTCTGCCTCGCTAAGTGCTAGGATTACAGGCGTCAGCCAGGGTGATGCCCGGCCAAACCTGCATGTCATCATCTTGGCACAACAATTCAAATCTCCAACGTTCTTTTCTGGTTTTTGACCACGAAGCATTTTTATCTCACCTGAATTATGAACACCTACAGCCTGCTTTTAACATCCTGCTCATCAGACGAAGTTTGCTTATTGCCTCGCAAGGCATCCGAAATTTCCCTTTGAAAGCGTGCAGAATATTTCATTTTATGGATGTATCATAATTTCTCTAATCATTCCCCTCCCCCCTTATTTGGGGACATTTAAGGTGTTTCTAATTATCTCACTGCAAACTGCTGCAGTGGGAGACTTTATTGTTTTTCTTTTGCATGATTTCCTGCAGATAAGGGGGAGAGGGTTACTGATTAAAGATTTTGAACGTTTCTCTGGCTCTTGGCAATTGCATCTCGGTGCAAGATCTGCTTGCCCAGGGCTCTCAGCCTCTGCAAAGCGGGACAGAAAAGAAAGGCTGGGCCCTTCCTCCCACCCCTCCCCCACCTTGCTGACGCCCCCACCTTTCCCACCAGCCCCCTCCCGGCCACTCCTCTCCCCAACCGGCCCACCTGGGCTGCTTCTCCCCGCCCCCCACGCAAGCTGGAGCCAGCGCGTTTGCAGCGTTTGGCCCATCCTGATCTTTTACTTTAATTAGATCTTTCAAGGTGAATAAAATACCAAACGATTTGCACCGGGAGCAAATGTCAGAGCGTGTGAGCGGATTTGCATTAGAACAGCAATTGCATGCTCTTGTTATTAATTCATTCCACAAGAACTTACTGAGCAACTACTACGTGCCAAGGTTCTCCACTGCAATGAAGAAAAAGACAATAAAAGCAAGATAGTAAAGATAGTGTTAGGTAGATAGCGATTCGAGCTAGGGGAGAAAATCGGGGACGGGAAAGACACTGAATACACGGAAGGCGGGCGCAAGGCGCCGAGCTGGCGTGGGGGTTAGTTCCCCCACTTCCGGCCGGTCAACGCCCGTCCGGCTCCG